AAGCTCACACAGGTTAACTTATTTTACAAGGTTGAGAAACTAAACAAATATCCAAACCACATCTTTTTAAAATAAAAACTTTACTTAGAAGGTAGGCTGGCCGGGCGCTGGTGGTTCATGCGTGTAATCCTAGCTACTCATGAGGCTGAGATCTGAGGATCATGGTTCAAAGCCAGCCTGGGCAGGAAAGTCCATGAGACTTTTATCTCCAACAAATGACCAGAAAACTGGAAGTGGCACTGTGGCTCAAGGGATAGAGCGCTCTCCTTGAGCTGAAGAGCCAAGGGACAGCACCCAGGCCCAGAGTTCAAGTTCCAGGACCCGAAAAAAGAAAAGAAAAGGAAAGAAAAGAAAGTAAACTGGCTCTATTTCTGTACTAATTACATAATATCTTTAAAATAAAATAGAAAAGGAAAGGTATAATCTTAAAATACCTATATAAAATGAACTATAGCTCAACTGAGATTTTCACTTTTTATTAAGTATCTTATGGACACTAATTGCCCTCTGAAAATCTTAAAAAACAAAAAACAAAACAAAACAAAAAAAAAGATCCAACCTCTTAACACCCATATTCTGAAAGAGCCACCAAGAGCTTTTTAGTAGTTGGGCATGGTGGCTCAAACCTGTAATCACAACTTTGGATGCTGATATGGGTAGAGTCATAGTTGGAGGCCAGAGTGGACAAAAGGTTAGTAAGAACTGATCTTACTAATAAAAGCTGGCATTAAATCTATAACAGGAAACATAAATAAGAGGATCACCCCCAAGCAAAAAGTGAGACTCTCAAAAATAACGAGAGCTAAAGAGATGAGGTGTGGTTCAAGCAGTAGAGAACCCTGTTTAGTAAGCATGAAACCTTGAATTCAAACTTCAGTATTGTTAAACAAACAAACGCCTCTCATTACTTCTCTTGTGGGTGTAGGCTGTATATCAACACTTGAAATCTTATCAGAGCAGAAGTTCTATGGGCTTTTTTGTTCAGTTCTATGCTGCAGCCTGTCAGAAAGACTCTTTTCCCCCAGTCTACATGGTCTCTCCTAAGAAAACTAGAAGTCAGCTCCTCATCAAGAGGGCACTTCCCGTGCTGGAGCTTACCACCAAAATCAAATGCTTGAACTATTTAATATAGCACTCATCTACTGTGAACTTACTTATTCATTCACTATTTCTTTTGTTTTTATTTTATTTTTATTGAAAAGGTGATGAGCAGAGAGGTTACAATTAAATAAGTAAGGTAATAAATACATTTGTTTTTAATCACTGTTACCTCATCCCTCATTCTTCCCTATTCCCATCCCCCCCGAAGTTGTAATTCATCAGCTAATATTTGCTAGCTGGTTTCTATATACTAAATTGTGAAGACAATTGTGAAGACAATTTGCAACAAGCAAAACAAAAAACAACAACAAAAAATCCCACCATAACAAAAATCCACCCCAGAAAGTCCTTATTCTTATAGAATGAAATAAAGGATACGTATATAGTTTAAATGATCATACAAATAAAGACAAAAATAATTGAAAACGCAGTTGAGGAAAGCAAAAGTCTTTGGGATTAATGAAAGGCTTCCTCATAGAAGTCACATTGAACTGATACATGAGTATAAATTAGCATTCGTCTGGTGAAGAAGGAACACATTTTAGGGAAAGGAAAAAGCATATTCAAAGATTCTTTGGCAAAAAGGAACATGGTATGTCAAGGAAATGTTAAAAACAAAATGTGGAAAACAGGGTTTCTGGATAGTGGATGTGAGAGGATTTTGGAGAAGCAGGCAAGGCCACATTTACATAGATTATATAGGGCATTCCAAGCTTATTTTTTGCATACAAATTAAAATAAAGAGGATTAACTTTTGGCATAACATAGTTATCAAAATCGATTTGGGTTTGAGAAAATTCTGGGTGTGGTTTGAAGAATATTGGAAATAGAAGTCAATATATAAATATGAAAAAGGCCAACAAGTCATTTCAATAGTTTTAAGAGAGATAATAGTGGTTTGGATTAGGTGAATGTGAAATACCATGGGCATCAGATATTAAGAAATAGTAGAACAGAGGGTGAACTAAGTCAGCAATGATACTAGACACTATGTTGGAAATGAACTATACAACTTGTGGGGGAAGGGAGAGGAAAAACTGGGAGAAAACGAGGGAGGGGGTGACACTGTTCAAAAAGAAGTGTACTTAATACCTGACTTACGTATCTGTAACCCTTTACAATAAAAATTTTAATAAAATAAACGAGGCTTAGTAATAGACAATTTATATAGGAGAAAGGGAGAAAAAGGAAGCATCTAGGCTCTAACTCATACAACTGGATGGATATACCAAGAGAGGTATTGATGACTCTTAAGAGAGGGATTGACTTAATAGAGGGATTGATGACTCAAGATATTCAGTATTTCAAGGACAATTTAGAGCAGATGAGCCACAAAGGAGATAGAAGCAGCCAACGGAAAAGGAAAAAAAAAATGTGAGAGCATCTCCCAGTAGAATATTTCAAGGTGGAGGAAATACATGATGGTAGCATATGCTGTGGTCAACTAGGTAATTTCAGTCCTGTTCTTCAGCAATATATAAGACTTTGAGGAAAGGGATTTTAACTCAAACCTCATAGCTTCCTTTTTCCATGAAGGGCCAGCACAAAACTTTCTATAGAAAAAGTTTATAAAACACATTTATTCCAGGAATTATATTATATTGACCAAGACGAGGAATTAAAAAAAAACCTTCATGGCATACCATTATAATGAAGCCAAAGGTAGCTTAATATGTTTAAGGAGAAAATGGATATATAAATCTAAACCAGGCTTACCTTATAAAAACACAATAAGAAACAAAAACATAATAGAAATATTTAAAGTTGAGGATGGACTGGCCTTGAATCAAAATGTTGTTCTTATAAACAAAAATGAACAGTGTAAAATGAATGCACTGTTTACTCAAACTGGTAAGGTTACTTGGCTGCCTAGCACAATTATTGTCTACTTAGCATAGGGAGACATGAAAAACCTTGGAAATATTTAAAGAACTACAAGAAGATGAAAATTTGTAAAACACTTACCTTTTATTTGCTGGTCTTGGGGCATGAACTCAGGGCCTGAGCTCTGTCCCTGAGCATCTCTCTGCTCCAGGTTAGTGCTTTACCACTTAAGCCATAGCACCACTTCCAGCTTTTTCTATATATGTGGTACTGAGTTTCATGCATACTAGAGTTTCATGCATATTAGGCAAGCACTGTCCCACTAAGCCACATTCCCAACCCCAAATTATAAAATACTAAGAAGAATTATAATGAAAAATACTCAAAATGACAATGATAGTATTCCTTCCTGAACATTTATATAAAAGCATAGTGTGGTGTCAAACTGTTAATGTTGAGTTTGATATAGTCTCCAAATACCTTAGTTTAATTTTGTTTGAAACTGATTACTCTTTCTAAATCAACTCATATTATTAGCCTATACCACTGCCCACTGCTAGGGGCATTGAATACAGTATATTTTACTTCCTACTTAAAAAATTATTTTTCATAAGACAAGCTCTTCTTAACCATATTCCCAGGGTTCTTGGAGAGCATGAAAATATTCTAGTTTTGTTTGTTGAAATACTTCCAAGGTTTTTCCAATAAGTTTAAAGACAAATTTATATTGCATGTAGCTATTTATATATTTTTAACTCATTTTAAGTCTGAATTGCATGTCCTTCTCTTTGCTCTCTTTTTCATTTCTCATGTACATTTAATTATGTTTATCTAATATTGCTGAAAGCTGACTCAAATCTTTTCTGAAAAACAAAAAGGATTGGTAGGAATCCACAGAGGAATATATATTGTTAAGCTCTTCCATCATATTAACTATCTCAGTCATCTCTTCTCTCAGCTCTTGGCCCCTTTTTTTTTTTGTCAGTCATGGAGAAGGTGACTTTAAGGACCTTGGAGAAAGAATCAATTAAGCATGATGATAAACTGGGAAAAGCAAAGAAAAACTCAAATATCTCTATCTTGGAAGTCTTTATGAACACTGACACTCCTGGTAGGTAAAGCTGAATGGAGGAAAAAGCCATGGAAGCCATTAACTTGACTTTTATATTAGTACAGTAGATTACAAAAAGAATACAGAAAACTGAACAAAAAATGCTAGAGGAAAGGTAAGCACCAAACTGGAAATACTGAAATGAAAATAATCTGTAAAGACAATATAGGTTAGTTAAAGCATTGCTTGAAATTTATTTTTATCTTAATAAAATTAAATTGTACTTTTTGTAAAAACTTTGGAAAATTCAGATGAAGGCCTCAACCCAGAGACACCATCTATTTATGGGTGGAAATCTTGCTCTTCAAGAGCAAGAAATAGTCATCTTCGATGCTAAAATCACTGACAACATATTTCCAAGATGAACCAAGAATGCTTTGAGATTAACAATATCTCCTTTAGCTATTCATGATATTTTTCTTCTCAGATACCAGAGAAAAAGTCATTTCCTAGTGATGTATTCCACACAAGAATCAAATTGCCACTCTTCATAATGCCACAAAATGTCATCAGATTGTTCTGGAAGTATATTTCACTTTCTGTGATCTTTATTTTGTTTTCAAATGCTGTTAATTAAATAATAAAAATGAACTGTTCAAAGTTATAAAAGTTATCTTTCTCTTAATTTCTATCTAAGGCTTTTGAGCTACATCAAACGGATTATCAACTGTTGATATCCATGTGTGATAATTAGCTAGGGAATTATCAAATCCTGTCATAGATCAAGAAGGAAGGACTTTTAAATGGCTAGGCAATTAACTAAAATGGAATCAACTTCCAAAATTTCACTGTTTTGACTGACATCACTAAAGCTATGAGTTATATATGACTATGAGAGCTGCAACTTGAATTCTTGAGCTTAGAGAAAGAGCATAGTTCTTTAATTAACTAACTTATTATAAAAAGTTGTAATTTGCCTTTATAAAAAATGAATTTATATCAAGAACTGTGGCAGGGTTCTCACCTGAGTAGAGAAGGGTAGAAATGTGATATGCAGGAAAGCCAATGTAATGGTTGGTTGAAAAAGGTTTGCAAGGAGCCTGAAGCTGACTCATCCATGCCATGCTGAAAGGCTCTAGGAAAACATACAAAAGACTTCAGAATATGAGGGAAACATTGATTATGAAATATTTTTATTAGAATTCACTAAATATTTTAATATAAAACTGTATTATCTTTATTTGGACAATGTTCCTGCTCTTCCCACCTGGGTTTTACATTAGAATGTAAAATGAACAATGACCAATCAAACTAGCTAGGAAAAATACTAGCAAGGTAAGAAAGGCTTTTTATAAAACTAAAAGTGAATGAACTTTAAACTTGCAGGTGTGACAAAATTATTATTTAATTTTTTTAAAACCACATATTTGTCAAAGTTAAATGCCTGCAGAAAGCACAATGAACTCTGTCTGTGTCTCTAATAAGTAGCATTCTTCTCTACTCATCCTGAATCCTGAATCTGCATCCAATTAATGCTAATAGTTTGGCACATTTGCTTCACCAATATAAAAACGTTTAACATGAGGTAGCCCTTTTTAATTGCTAAAGTGATTTATGTATTCTAAACAATCAATAGGATTCATAATTAATTGTATATACTTCTATGGATCTAAAAGGTGTCTAGAAGAACAACTTAGGGCTGGGAAGGTGGCTCAGTGGTAGAGTGCTTGCCTTGCATGCCTGAGGCCCTGGGTTCAATTCCTCAGCACCACATAAGCAAAAAGACAAAAGATGGAAGTGGCGCTGTGGCTCAAGTGGTAGAGTGCTAGCCTTGAGCTGAAGAGCTGAGGGTCAGTGCCCAGGCCCAGAGTTCAGGCCCCACGACCAGACCCCCCCCAAAAAAAGAAGAATTTAGTTAAATTATACATTAGTGCAATTTAACATTTAGGATATTTTTACAGAGTATTAGTTCTACAACCATTTGTAGAAGTGCTTGCAATGTTTGGCCTGAAATACAACTGTAAATCTCAAGAAGAAAAATCTGTTACAAAAAATTATTGAAGCTAATTGGACTAATTAAAACTGTACAATTGTAGACTATATTCCCACATATAGTTAAAAGTGATGTCTGAGAATACTTTAGAAATGGAATTATTTAAAACAGCCCAATCTCTCCATTTAGTTTAGAAGCAACAATGTCTTTTTTATCACAAATGTTCAAAATTGAACAGAATTCCACTTTGAAGGCCCGTTTCTTAATTCCACATCAGGCTTCTTGTATCCCCACCCATCACATTTGACCCTTTACTTCTCCTGTCCGGCTGGTCAACTAAATTTACTTAGAATTTCTTTAGACCTTTAATATATCACCATTTCTTTGAAAGTCCTATTTTGTCTCATTAAATTTCAGATTAGGACAAAATTCCTTACATATCCCTCATAGCTGTAAACATCTATCCCACACAATCCAATGCATGAGCTACAGAAGTAGGCAGGTACCAGGATTTGCTACTCTAAAGAGTTTGAATTTAATGCCAGCAGTAAGGAATCACTAAAGTGTTTATAGCAAGAGAGTGAAATTAGCATTTTTGCATCTTAGAAAAATCATTTCAGTAGTAGTGAGGATTAGAGTAAGAATGGATTAGAAGGAAATCAAGGATAATGAAGATGGTATTGCACAGACCAGTCAGAGGATAAGAACCTAAATGAAGGGAAGAGGCAGAGAGCATAGTAATTAGGAAGCAAATAGAATAAATACTAAAATAATAGAATTAACTCTATTTATTCCACAATGAAATGGGATTCAAGATACATGAGGGTGAAGATAGAAAGTAAGAGTTGAAGAAAAGGAATAATAGTCCAAGGTATTTTCAGGTATTTTGTTTCATATTAGGTCTGTTGAAGGGACTTTAGACATTTCAGATCCACCCAAAGAGGTACACCAAATAGGAATTTCAATTTGCTGATCTAGTACATACAAGAAATATCTGGTTTGAAGATATCAATGTGAAAGTCATCAATATAATATGAAGCCATAGGAGTGGATAAATTCACCCAACATAGCAACAGTTAAGGATGAAATAAATAAAAAGTTCTATGCAACATGCCAGCATTTAAGGATGAAATAAATAAAAAGAGGCACTCAAAGGAAAAATGAGAAGAAACAATCAGAGGAGTAGGCAAAGAGACAAGAGAAAATGATATTGGCAAAACCAAGAGAAAAGAAATGGAAAATAGTGTAAAAGCTGCAGAGAGATTTGTACAGAGAAAAAGATTACTGGAGTTACTGATTACAAATGCATAGATGATATTGCCCTGTTTGTGTAGCCTGATGGAGGTTGAATCCACTTACAGTACAGTGAGTGAATGATAGGTATAAAAGTAAAAATATTTCTTTGATTTGTTGTGTTTCTGGGTCACTATTAAGAAAATTTCAGCCTGTGCCAACAAGACCTAGGGTTTCTATTCCGTCCTGTAATGTTTTCAGAGTGTCCGCTTTGATTCCGAGATCTTTGATCCAGTTGGAGTTGATTCTGGTGCAGGGTGATATATAAGGATCTAGCTTTAGTTTTCTACA